AGATGATCCTATCAACTTCCATCAAACCATGAAAAGTTCTAAATCTCAACGGTGGATTGATGCCATGAATGAGGAAATAAAGTCTATGAAGGACAATAACAACTGGGACATTGTCCTATTGCCTAAATGTGCGAAGCCCATTGGTTATAAATGGATATTTAAAACCAAGAAGGACTCGAAAGGTGATGTGGAGAGGTACAAGGTGAGTCTTGTCGCTAAAGGCTTTACACAAAAAGAAGGTATTGACTATAAAGAGACTTTATCTCCTGTTTCATCGAAAGACTCTTTCAGAACAATAATGGCACTTGTGACACATTTTGACCTTGAGCTACATCAGATGGATGTAAAGATTGCGCTTCTCAATGGTGACATTGATGAAACAATTTATATGGTGCAGCCAAAAAACTGTGTCGGGAGTGCAAAGAAGATGGTTTGCAAATTGAAGAAATCCATCTATGAGCTTAAGCAAGCTTCTTGTCAGTGGTATTATAAATTTCATCAAGTTATCATCTTATTCGGTTTTGAGATAAATATAGTTGATGATTGTGTATACCACAAGTTCAATGGGAGCAAGCATATTTTTCTGGTTTTATATGTTGATGACATATTGCTTGCTAGCAACGATAAAGGCTTATTGTACGAAACCAAGAGATTTCTACCAAAGAAATTTGAGAAGAAAGATCTTGGGGATGCCTCTTTTGTATTGGGCATACAAATACACCGGGACCACTCTCAGGGTATACTTGGGTTATCAAAAAAGAGCTATATCGAGAAGGTTTTTAAAAGTTTTGGCATGCAAAATTGTAAACCAGGGGACACCCCTGTAGCTAAGGGAGATAAATTCAGTCTCAATCAATGCCCCAAGAATGACTTTGAGATTAAGAAGATGCAGCAGATTCTTTATGCGTCAGCAATAGGGAGTCTAATGTACACTCAAGTGTGTACGCGTCCGGATATTGCATACGTGATTGGAATGTTGGCCAGATACTTAAGTAATCCTGGATTGGATCATTGGAAAGTAGCTAAGCGAGTCTTGAGATATTTGTAGAGAATAAAAGAATACATGCTCACGTATCGGAGGTTGGGCCAGTTAGAGATCATTGGGTATTCTGACTCTGATTTTGCTGGATGCCAAGATAGCATGAAATCTACTTCAGGCTATATCTATCTACTTGTTGGAGGAATGCTAAGCAGACACTCATAGCTTCATCCACCATGACATCAGAGTTTATAGTATGCTATGAGGGGTCTAATCATGAAATATTGCTACGAAATTTTATCACTGGGCTGCGAATTATGGATGGCATTGAAAGGCCACTTAAATTATTTTGTGACAATAAGTCAGCAGTGTTGTACTCCAACAACAACAGGAGTTCGACGAAATTGAAACATATAGACATCAAGTTCCAAGTCGTTAAAGAAAGAGTTCAGAGTGGACTTGTGTCTATAGAGCATATTGGGAAAAACTCCATGATTGGGATCTGCTGACTAAGGGATTACCACCCAAGGTTTTTCATGAGCACACTGCTCATCTGGGTGTTCTATCTCTTCAGGATATGTCATTTTAGTGGGAGTTTGTATTTTAGATGCTTTTATTTGTAGACACATTTGTTATGATTTTGTGGATATTATATGATTATTTACAGCAGCATAAAGTATTTAGTTCTTATTCACTCTAATATTTTTGGTATGGTTTGATCTCACTAAGATTTTAAGGTGAACCAGTTGAAAATATACATGTTAAAATCACACTACATGAAATTTCCATGCTACACATCCATGCTTGATCTGTGTTGTTGGTTGTATTGATATATGTGACCATTAATGGGTCTAGTTGCGACAAATGTAATGAAGATTGCTTTGGTCCAATGTTGGTATAACTGATAGACGAGATTGTTAAGGATGCATATTGTTTGATAGCAAAATTCATGAGCTCGTAAGGTTATATCATAATTCATATCTATATAGTAACATATATGGCCCAAGTGGAAGATTGTTGTCTTTAAATCCAATATATAGGCCAATATATTAAATAGATATGTATTATGTACTATCAATCAAGGTTAGCCCATTAAAGTGATCTAATTTAGGGTTTGAGCTTTTAACGCATAATTAACGTATGAGCTTCCTATGTGTAGAGACCAAAATATAATTATTAATTCTATGATGGGCTGAATTGATAATTATGAATAACTGATATAATAACTGATATCAATTATAAATAGGGTTGTGGTTCTCCAAATCTTTAGGTAGAATCTCTTTCTGATTTCCCATCTTTAGAAGGATTATGGTTTCTCTAAGGCCCCGTTTAGTACGCGGAAATGGGGTGGAATGGAATGTCATTCTCACTTCTCATTCCTTCATGTTTGCGTCAAAAGTTGGTTTTGTCATGGAATTCATTATATCTTCGGTCGATTACAATAAATTCAAAAGAAATAGCCTTTTTATAAGACTTCTTTTACACAACAAAATGAAAATTACAACTCTTGAGAAACAAACGCAGGATCGTTGTTTGGATCGCTGCTTGCGTGGGATCTTTGCCTGTGCCGGGGGTGCGTTAGCCCATGGACCACCAAATCACAGATTCTGATCGAATCGTGAGGGGTTTATGATTCTGACTTCGTTTATCGAAGTGAGAACTTGAAACGATATCTTATCAAGGTAAGATAGTCGTTCTTCTTGAAATCAAGTCAAAGCCTGAATATCAAGGAGTTGCCAGAAGCTCAAGAACTCTGCTCTCTCTCTGCTCTGGATTGCTCTGAAGTGCTCCAAATGATCAGCCCCCCCTTGCTGTCTCGCTGGCCGAGACAGTGTTTGCTGTCTCGCCCAGCGAGACAGTAAATTTGCTGTCTCGCCCAGCGAGACAGTAAAATACTGTCTACATTTCTGGCAGTTTTCGATGTAACTGCCTTCCCACGTTTCAAACTCCGTTATTTTGGCAGTTATCCACGTGATTCTCGCCCACGATGTTTTTCACGTTCTTGAACAGTTAGTGGCCACGTGTAGGGCAGTTACAAAGGCGGTTTTGACCATCTGAAAGCTGTCTCACGCGCGAGACAGTAAATTCTGTCTCGCACGGCGAGACAGTAAAGACTGTCTCGCGTGGGCGAGACAGTAAAAGTCTGTCTCGTCCGCGAGACAGTAAAGACTGTCTCGCCGGGGGAGACAGTCAAATCTGTCCTATCTCGCACGGCGAGACAGTCAAGTCTGTCTCGTGTGCGAGACAGTAAAGACTGTCTCGCGTGCGAGACAGTCTATACTTGTGTTCTTTTTGACATTTTGGATGACTTCCTTTTGAGCTGTGTTTGGATATCTCTTAGCATTTTTTAACGCCTACACTTCATGGCAAAAAAAACTTGTTCTTAGATGTTGGAATGATCATTCCTATGGAATGGTAATTCCCATTTTTTGTGGGAATGGGCATTCCAAGTGAGAAGATAAGGAATGATCATTCTCATTCAAGGGGAGAATCAAATTAGTTAGTTTTTTTTTAAATTATACCCCTATTAATAATAAGAATCAATTTAAAAATTATGGCTTTTGACTACATATTCTCATTTTCTCTCAGCTACTAATTATATTCGAACAATAGGAATATTTTGCGGAGTAAGGATTAAAACTAGTGGTACATATTTCAGTAACATATTAAAACTAGCGGTACATATTTCATTAGCTTATTATATCACAATTGCTCAACATAGGAGCAACATAATTTAATATAAAAACAGATACAACTAAAACTATATATTATTTGCCGATTGAAATTCTTTCATGTTAATATTTTTTTGGTCAATCAAATTTTTTTGTTTATTCACCAATATTTAAAGTTTGTTATTTTCACCAGCATATTATATTCTTTTTAAACTTTTGCTATTATTTTTCCACCATAGAGAACTGTATGTACCCATTGCGTACATGTTTGATTGTGGTTCATGCACAACAATAAATGCAACTTTTTGATTGAAAAATATTTGACCCAATATTTATGAAAAGAGGAAACTCTTGCTGAGAAATTGGCCAAAATATTAAAATTATCAAAACCATATCATGTCTAGACTATATATAAAGGTATAAGGGCATTATTATAACACATACCTAGATTAATATAACATATGCAGAAATAGTGAGAATTGTTAAAAAAATATAAACGAAACATACACATGATCGATAACATGCACATTAGTATAACACATACCTAGATTAATATAACATATGCATAAATAAATTTTTTTAGTTATTATCATTAATGTTTATTTTTATCTTATTAAAAATCTATGTTGTTATAAGGGCATTATTAGAAAATGAGATTTCATTCTCACTTGTGAACTAGTGATACCAAACATGGGAATGGGAATTAGATTTTCATTCTAGCGTCATTCTATAAACGCACCCAAACAAGAGAATGAGAATGACTATTCCATTCTCATATACATTCCATTCCATTCCTTCTTTCATTCTATTCTCACTTGAGTTCATTCCCACGTACCAAACGAGGCGTAAGGATGATATAATACGTACAAGATTTGGAAGATCTACATCTCAAATCTCAAAAAAAAAAAAAACTTAAGAATCACATCCTACTCTATGGATTCATGTATGGTTCTGCGTCTTATTAATTATTTCAATAGTTTGACACGAACAATTTTGGGATTGATTAGGGTTTTATCTATTAAAGCAAAAGTTTTTTTATTTTATTTAACAGGATGCTAATTTCGCTCACTTTAAACTTGCACAACGATCTTTACATATAACTAATGTAAATGACAAAATGTAACAGAATTAAAGAATCCATATGGGGTCTACTTTTGACAATAGAAGTAGAAGGATCTATCTACAATTTGGCGATAGCGAGGATTATCAAAATCTTTTACTTTTTATTTTGTTTTTGTTTTTGTTTTTGTTTTTTTTTTTTTTGGGGGGGGGGGGGGGGTTGGGTTTGCGGACTTGTTATTTAGGAACAACAAGCTATGATGACATCAAGAATTTCTATATTTACTTGCCTGAGTGATCTTGGAGGGAAAGCCTGCCATCTTCAGTGAACACGGCCTTTGACTGATTATTGATGGTGTTGCCTCCATTTGCAGTCCAGACTACGGTTTGGTTGGGGACTTTGTTGAAGAAGACGGCGAGGAGGAATTGGGTCGGGTCGGATTCAAGAGGACGGAACCCGAAAGCGAAGTCGCCCGAAGGGGAGAGCCAAGATGTGGGAGGAGTCAGAGGGGTCAAGGTTTCTCCCAGGGTGATGTTGGTGTCAGCTTGAGCTGAGAGAAAATTTGAGAGGAGAAAGGAGAGGAGGAGGTGAAGGAGGAGAGCCGACATTTTTTCGTTGGGGATGTATGGTATGGATTCCATTGGTGAAGTGAGAGGGGGTTTTGTATTTTTCGTTGGGATTATTAGTAGGTAGGTAACGAAGTCCATTATACATGGAAAGTCTTTGGAAGCAGGTGGGTAACGAAATCCATTACGGAAAAGTAAATCAACATCATGCGATTTTTTATTGCCACATGCATCAGCTTCCTATTGGCCCAAACGAACAAGGTAAAGCTTGAAATTTACCGTAGCCTGACAGATACAGTGACATCAAGCCAGAAAAAAAAAGGGCCAACCAAGCAGCCCTCATACTCATAATTGCAACAACAAGGGCATCAAATTCTTTTCCTGGAGCTGTAGCCGCCAGGGAGGACTGGTGGGACAGACGTCGCTAGAAGCCTACACATTGATAATGATCACTGGCGTGAAAGAAGACCAAAAGGCTAATTAAGATTTGATTTGAACAGCGGAGTAAACACAGAGTTTTCAAACAATCACTCCGCACAAATGATGAAGCTACATACAAGGATCTCATACTGATTATTAGGGGGTGCTAAACTGTATCCGTATCCGAGGAAATATCTGTAACCGTATCCGTTAGGATATGGATATGGTTACTCAAATCTATAACATCCGTATCCGAGGAAATATCTGTAACCGTATCCGTTAGGATATGGATATGGTTACTCAAATCTATAACCGATAGGATATATGGTTACAGATATGGTTTTGTAGTTAAATATCTGAACTGTATCCCAAATATCCGAATATATTGATAGTCACATTGTTACAATGGTTATAGTCTTTAGATTATATATTTGAGGTTAATTTTGACGATCAAGATATCTAATATTAGCTTTTGAGATATAATGAACATATTAATGAACTCTTTCGTATTACGTGAACTATATTTTTTCAACAGTATATAGTTTTCTCATATCCATTTTATATCAGTATGCATATCTGCTTATGTATCCGCATGTATATCTGTATCCGTATCTGACTTTAGCGGATATGAATTTTTCTTACCGAGGTATATCCATATCCGTATCCATATCTGAAACAAGTAAGCGAATATGAATATAATAAGTGTCATATCCGAGCCGTATCGGGACCGAATACTACTGATTATATGTTTGGATTTAAGATGACTTCACTATAAAAGTCCTTGGTACCTCCTCAGGGTAAAACCAAGGCATAACCCCTTTTCTTTTGCCAACTCCCACAGTCGACTCTCGGTCCTAGGGGAAAACGCAAGACCTTGGTACCTAATCTGGGTAAAACCAAGGCAAAACGACTCCTCGGTCGGGAAAAAGCCCTTGGCTCTTCCTAAAGAGTAAGTCCAAGGCAAAACGATTTCTTAGTCGGAACAAAGCCCTTGGTACCTAATATGGGTAAAACCAAGGCAAAACGACTCCTCAGTCGGGAAAAAGCCATTGGCTCTTCCTAAAGAATAAGTCCAAGGCAAAACGACTCCTCAGTCGGGAAAAAGCCATTGGCTCTTCCTAAAGAATAAGTCCAAGGCAAAACGACTTCTCAGTCAGAACAAATCCCTTGGTACCTAATCTGGGTAAAACCAAGGCAAAACGACTTTTCAGTCGGCATCAAAACCTAGTCACCTAGGCACGATTACTTCTTAGTCGGATCAAAGCCCTTGGTACCTAATCTGGGTAAAACCAAGGCAAAACGACTCCTTAGTCGGGAAAAAGCCCTTGGCTCTTCCTAAAGAATAACTCCAAGGCAAAACGACTTCTCAGTCGGAACAAAGCCCTTGGTATCTAATCTTGGTAAAACCAAGGCAAAACGACTCCTCAGTCGGGAAAAATCCCTTAGCTCTTCCTAAAGAATAAGTCTAAGGCACAACGACTTCTTAGTCTGAACAAAGCCATTGGTACCTAATCTGGGTAAAACCAAGACTAAGCGAATTCTCAGCCGGCATCAACACCTAGTCACCTAGGCACGACGACTTCTTAGTCGGATCAAAGCCCTTGTTACCTAATCTGGGTAAAACCAAGGCAAAACGACTCCTCAGTCGGGAAAAATCCTTTGGCTCTTCCTAAAGAATAAGTCCAAGGCAAAACGACTTCTAAGTCGGAACAAAGTTCTTGGTACCTAATCTGGGTAAAACCAAGGCAAAATGACTCCTCAGTCGGGAAAAAACTCTTGGCTCTTCCTAAAGAATAAGTCCAAGACAAAACGACTCCTTAGTCAAGAAAAAGCCCTTGGTACCTAATCTGGGTAAAACCAAGGCAAAACGACTTCTCAGTCGGCATCAAGACCTAGTCACCTAGGCACGACGACTTCTTAGTCAGATCAAAGCCTTGGTACCTAATCTGGGTAAAACCAAGGTAAAACGAATCCTCGGTCGGGAAAAAGCCCTTGGCTTTTCCTAAAGAATAAGTCCAAGGCAAAACGACTCCTCAGTCGGGAAAAAGCCATTGGCTCTTCCTAAAGAATAAGTCCAAGGCAAAACGACTTCTCAGTCAGAACAAAGCCCTTGGTACCTAATCTGGGTAAAACCAAGGCAAAACGACTTCTTAGTCAGCATCAAAACCTAGTCACCTAGGCACGATTACTTCTTAGTCGGATCAAAGCCCTTGGTACCTAATCTGGGTAAAACCAAGGCAAAACGACTCCTCAGTCGGGAAAAATCCTTTGGCTCTTCCTAAAGAATAAGTCCAAGGCAAAACGATTTCTAAGTCGGAACAAAGTTCTTGGTACCTAATCTGGGTAAAACCAAGGCAAAACGACTCCTCAGTCGGGAAAAAACTCTTGGCTCTTCCTAAAGAATAAGTCCAAGACAAAATGACTCCTTAGTCAAGAAAAAGCCCTTGGTACCTAATCTGGGTAAAACCAAGGCAAAACGACTTCTCAGTCGGCATCAAGACCTAGTCACCTAGGCACGACGACTTCTTAGTCAGATCAAAGCCTTGGTACCTAATCTGGGTAAAACCAAGGTAAAACGAATCCTCGGTCGGGAAAAAGCCCTTGGCTTTTCCTAAAGAATAAGTCTAAGGCAAAACAACTTCTCAGTCGGAACAAAGCCCTTGGTACCTAATCTGGGTAAAACCAAGGCAAAACGACTCCTCAGTCAGGAAAAAGCCATTGGCTCTTTCTAAAGAATAAGTCCAAGGTAAAACGACTTCTCAGTCGGAACAAAGCCCTTGGTATCTAATCTGGGTAAAACCAAGGAAAAATGACTCCTCAGTCGGGAAAAATCCCTTGGCTCTTCCTAAAGAATAAGTCTAAGGCAAAACGACTTCTTAGTCGGAACAAAGCTATTGGTACCTAATCTGGGTAAGACCAAGGCAAAGCGACTTCTCAGCCGGCATCAACACCTAGTCACCTAGGCACGACGACTTCTTAGTCGGATCAAAGCCCTTGTTATCTAATCTGGGTAAAACCAAGGCAAAACAACTCCTCAGTCGGGAAAAATCCTTTGGCTCTTCCTAAAGAATAAGTCCAAGGCAAAACAACTTCTCAGTCGGAACAAAGTTCTTGGTACCTAATCTGGGTAAAACCAAGGCAAAACGACTCCTCAGTCGGGAAAAAACTCTTGGCTCTTCCTAAAGAATAAGTCCAAGACAAAACGACTCCTTAGTCAAGAAAAAGCCATTGGTACCTAATCTGGGTAAAACCAAGGCAAAACGACTTCTCAGTCGGCATCAAAACCTACTCACCTAAGCACGACGACTTCTTAGTCGGATTAAAGCCTTGGTACCTAATCTGGGTAAAACCAAGGTAAAACCAAGGTAAAACGACTCCTCAGTCGGGAAAAAGCCCTTGGCTTTTCCTAAAGAATAAGTCTAAGGCAAAACGACTTCTCAGTCAGAACAAAGCCCTTGGTACCTAATCTGGGTAAAACCAAGGCAAAACGACTCCTCAGTCAGGAAAAAACCCTTGGCTCTTCCTAAAAAATAAGTCCAAGGCAAAATGACTTCTAAGTCGAAACAAAGCCCTCGGTCCCTAATCTAGGTAAAACCAAGGCAAAATGACTTCTCAGTCAGGAAAAAGTCATTGGCTCTTTCTAAAGAATAAGTTCAAGGCAAAACGACTTCTCAGTCAGAACAAAGCCCTCGGTCCCCGATCTGGGTAAAACCACGGCAAAACAACTTTTCAGTCGGGAAAAAGCCCTTGGTACTTCCTAAAGAATAAGCCCAAGGCAAAACGACTTCTTAGTCGGCACGAAGTCCTTGGCTCTTCCTAAAAGATAGACCCAAGGCGCAACGACTTCTTAGTCGGTTCAAAAACCGTTGATCTCGCATCAAAAGTAGCCCAAGGTACAAAGGCTCCTCAAGTCAGCGCTACACCTATGGTTCCCTACCTAGATGAACCCAAGACAAGGCCCCCAAGGGACCGACATTATTCTAAAAAAAAAGCAGAGTTTCAACATGTTCAAATCATTTTGACAACTCACAAAAGCAAAAGACAGAAGAAATCACTCTCATTCAAAAAGGAGTCTTGTACATATCTTTTTTACAAAAAAGGGGCCCGACAGGGCTTACAAAAAAAAAGAGAAAGAGAAGAAAAAGAAAAGGGGGGGGGGGGGGGGGGGGGGG